TGTCTGTCTGTTTGTCTATCTATCTATCTATCTATCTATCTATCTATCTATCTATCTATCTATCTATCATCTATCTATCTATCTATCTATCTATCTATCTATCTATCTATCTTCTATCTATCTATCTTTCATTTTTGATCTGGTGGAATTCTTACTTCCATTTCTTGAATTTAATTTCAAAAGGAGCATAAACTATTAAATACCCAACTACCTGTAAACAGGTCTTACCTGTTGATCCATTGATATGAATTGTAGAGGAACGTTTACTTCCAGAAACAGCTGTGATGGCAATGCTGTATTTATTACCAGCAGTAAGGTTAAAAAATGCATATTCATTCCATGAAGTACTTTCTTGAATCTGAGCCCCCTGTATCTTTTTGTTATCATCAAATAACTGCACCTCATACCAGCTGACTTTTCCAGAAGAAGGAGTCCACCAAACATGCAGGCTGGTTGAAGAAGTCTTCTCTTTACTGACCTCAAACCTAGCAGGAGGCAAAGGATCTGCAAGGCAAAAAGCAAGAAAGGGAACGTGGCTTGAAGACTTCTGCAAGACATGCTCACCTTGCTGTAATCCAGATTATTTTTCTTAAAAAGTTTAAGCATCTGCTGCCCATGAACAAATTGGTATTTTACTCCACTTCGAAACTTACCATTTCATTTAAAAAAGAAACCCACTCAGCTACTAGTCATATAAACTCCTTTTTCTAAGAAAACTTTTTTGTTAAGACAACTCTGAGCTTGGAATTCCAAGTAAGGTGATATTTTCTTTGGCTTCCAAGTTCAGCACATTGACAAACATCCAAGCTATGCCTGGATAGATGTTGAAAACCAATAGAAAATACAAATATTAAATAATTTTGAAATTTGTACTGAACTTTTTCTCTTTTAGGTTGTGGGTTCTCATGGCTAAGTATAGATAACTTCCAGTCATTTTTAGATATCAGAAAACCACAAAAGATACAGACCCGATTACGAGCCTAGGCTAGGTTTGCTCACCAAAATGAATTCTCCCCAGAGCTGGGATTTCCTATGTAACTAAATTTTCAAAACTTGACTTCCGGGCCATTTTGGAGCTGCTGGGGCCCCCAGAGCAGGTGAAAATGGCTTAGTTTCAATTCTCAAAACCGTGGATCACTCAGAGAAGTCCCATTTCCTATGTATTCAGTCTTCACTGTGGAACTTGAAACAGGATGAAGGCATGTCCCCAGGTTGGGAACTAAGTCAACAGCATTCAGTGAGCAGCAATTCCAAGGGCAGTGAGCCCACCTGAGAAATGAGACTTCTCTCTACCCTAAACGCTGGGAGGAGAAGCACTGAGAGACATTTACACCTGAGTAATTTTCAGAAATCCAACATGCTTCTTGGTCTAGAAAGTGGGATTAAGACAGTGAAAACTAAATTTCAATAGCCAGGTCAGATGTTTTAGTGGCATGGCTATAGAGATCTCAGGTCTTATCCACTTCTTGGTAAATGAGAGTTTTCTCACAAAATGACTATAGGAATTCTGGAATGTTCATAGAACAGTGTATGTTTTCAAACAGCGTTTGTTAGTGACACTAATATTAATACAAATAAGAACAAAATAATCTTACTCTATGTTCAAACGGCATTTACGACCTGGCAGTTCGTAAGACTATCTCTGGGTCACCTAGAGACAGCATACACAGGCGAAACTCAGCCAATGATCCATCTAACGGCTTTGTTTGTGTTTCTGGCTGTGATTTATATGAGCACATTACACTGCAAAAGTTAAATAAGCCACAGAACATTTTATAATGTCAACAATTAATAATAACATACATGCTAGCTGACAAGTAAGCCGAGGCAGCAGTTACTTTAAAAGCCAAAAGCACAGGTGAGCTTGGAGGACAAGGCCGTGTGGCTTACAGCCCAGCACTACACAGGTTCGCCTGAGAGCGCAGGCTCTAGGGCCTGATGACCGGGGCTTGAACCCAGCTCCCCGGCTGTGTAGCTGTGCACTCAGGGCAATTCCTTAACCTCCCTGTGCCTCAGCTGTCTCATCTATGCCATGCTGATGATAGCACTATCATTTTAGTAGAATTGCTATGAAGATTAAATTGAGTATTTTATCTGGAGCGCTCAGAACGGTGTCTGGTACACAGTAAGTGTTCAGTGTTAGGCAGTATTATTGTTACTCCTATAATCAGGAGAAGATCTTGTCATAGAAGTAGGAAGATGTAGTTGCAGAGAGCGTGGGCTCTGGAGTCAGACAGAAGTCAGTTCAAATCTCGGCTTCACTGTGCTATCAGTCATAAGACTTTGGGCAAGTTACTTCCCCGGGCTCAGCCTCGGTTCTCCCATCTGTCTGGGGAGTATAATAGTCCCTACATTCTCGGAGGAGTCCCTACATTTTGAGGAGTAACAAAGATAGAGAAGACTACCTGGCATACAGTGAGCACTAAGCAATAGAAATTTATTCTGTCTACTTGATCATAAAGAAAATTTTCTCTGAATCACTGACAAAACGGAGGCAAAAGTGGAATACAATTTTTTTAAACTAAAGTGATAAATGCTTTCTTCATTAAAAACTATGATCAAAAATCTTATCAGTTTATTCCCCTGAACTAAGTTTTTAACCCTTAAGATAAAATTAAAAAAAAATTCCCAAGGTGGTTCGCATTTTTAAGCTCTGGAGGAAAAACAGTAGTTTTTTTTCCCCCTGGCAATATTATTTAACTTTTCTATCTTACATAATAGTCTATAATTAAGGATGTTATAATAAAAGGAAAGAACATAATTTTCCCTCACAGAAAATGTCCTTGTTGCCTGGCAGAGATAGGCACTGCACTACCATAAAATTCTAATAGCCAACAAAACTCAAGAACAGCCTTGTCATAGCCAAGAGAGGTGACGCGTTTTTGCTGAAGGGGCATTTTAAGGACAAGGATGACAGGGACAGCTGCTTTCCAGTGATAGTTCAAATGAGACCAATGCTGTACTGACACCTGCGTCTACCATCTACAGCTGAGCCAGGTCAAGGCCAAAGGAAATCATGTTATGGTCAGTTATAATCCAAACATATATAATCTGCAAAATTAGGAGCTACAGAAAATGAATTTTAAGGTTCGGTGCCTAGAGGGTGAAGTTCAGATGCAGACTTTATCTAATCTCTCTGAGCCAGAAAACAAAACAGCCAATCCTTTGTACATCCGCTGGAACAAAGGAACAATGAGACTGGGAAGTGCCTGGGCTGCGAGAACCTGCACTGGAAACAAACACTTAAAACCCCATTTATGCTGTGATAAAGCCCTTTAAACAAACACTTAAAACCCCATTTATGCTGTGATAAAGTCCTTTGCTGGCAGCTGTCCACTATTGCTATGCATGGCAAAGTTCGTTTTCAGACATCTTTTCAATCTAAGTCCAATGAAAGCTGTGCTGTATTAAAAAAAAAAAAGTTTTCAGCCCGGCCGGGCGTGGCTCAGTGGTTGAGCGCCAACCTAGGATCCAGGCGATCGGGGTTCGATTCCCAGTCAGGGCACATGCCCGGGTTGCGGGCTCGATCAATGACTCTCATCATTGATGTTTCTATCTCTCTCTCCCCCTCTCCTTTCCTCTCTCTGAAATCAATAAAGATATATTTTAAAAAGTTTTCAATATTTTATTAGAAACAAATTAGATACTTCTATCAGGGATGCTAATTTCATACACACACACACACACACACACACACACACACACACACATATATATATATATATATAGAGAGAGAGAGAGAGAGAGAGAGGGAGAGAGAGAGAGATTTTTAAAATGTCTGTAATCTTCTGGTCATATGATAAATCATATGTAATTAAAGAACCCCGACGGCTAGAGGTATCAATGCACATATGTGTGCAGTAGAGCCTTTTTGTTTTTTCCCACTCATAATTCTCGTACATACAGTAACCAATGAAGTGTTATAAATGACGAGAACTGTTGAAAACCATAGATCAATAATTTAATCTCAAGCAATACATTAAAATTTATCATTAGCCATAAATTTTAAGATATCTTTGTGCTTCTTAGTTCCAGACAGACCTGAATGCCAAATGCAAAGTTTGGCCATACTCATCTGCCATATTTCAGTGAATCTGCCAGTATCAGGAAGCCCTAGAATTTCATAAGTTGACTTGATGTCAACCCAATTTTTCTGTTCTCAGAGGAAAAGTTTAGCTAAATTCTTGAACCAAAATGAATTCTTCCTTTTTTTCATTTTTTAAAAATGTGACTTAAGAAGAGGGAGAAACTCATATGTATATATAATGAAAATAATATTTTCTTTAAAAATTCTTTTGTATGGCTATTAAGACATTATTATCTATCGATACAGGAATTTCCAGAATGTTTAGAATTCAAAATGATAGTATTCCTCTTGGAAATAAATTCAACCTTACAAGAGCAATCCATGGGTTAATACCAAACGCTCTTCTTGAAGTCATAATAGCACCACAGTGTATCTGTGTAAGATCTGAGAGTTTACTAGGCTCTCTCAGTTTTGAAAACCTGCACCAATGGATGATTTGTGGCTTTTGCCCCACAGAAGAACAAAGAAAAAAAAAACAATTGCTCACAGTCTCCGGTTAATTAAATATGTCTCTTTTACTCTGTGATTGTTGCAGTTTGCCTAGTCTGCTTTCTGACTTATTTTAAGATGATGTCCCATGTTATGCTAATATATCAGGTTACCATGCATTTGATTTATCACTTTAATACACCAGGCCTATAGTTCAAGTAAGAAGGAACTTTCAAAGATTAACAACCCTGAAAGGGAAACCAAAGCAGTTTTGACAATTATTTGCATCATCATGAACAGCAGCAGCAGGATGCCCCATTATTTTCCGGGTCACCATACTTGTCTCTAGGTATGTAATTAGCAGATGGTCCACCCTCTGGGAGTTCAGTCTACTCAGGCAGTAAACACCTTTGTGAAAAAGGCAAACAAAAGGTGCATTATCAGGGAGGCCGACTTCCGATGTCAGACAAAACCTGGGTTCAAATCCCAACACTGTCAGTTACGAAGGCGACTTTAGGCAAGCTGCTTACCTTCGCTGACGCTCAGTTTCCAACCTATAAAGTGGGACCAACACTTCACAGGGTTCTAAGCGCTAAGAGGTAGAGGAGGTACAGCGTTAAGTGCAGCCTGACTCATGCTGGGCTCTCAGTGAACGGCAGCTGGGATAAATGTTGCTGCTGTTAAGAGTAACACGGGTGGGCATGCATGCTAAATATGCAAATAGAAAACCACAGCCAAGGGCTAAGGTCTCAAAGGTGGGCTTCGTGAAGGAAACGAACTTTAGCAAGTTTGGAAGGTCAAGTAGGACTTAGAAATCAGAGAGAAGAAAGGGCATAGCAGAGTGAAAGAGAAGTTAAACTAAAGCATGGAAAAGCTCACCTCTACTGCGTATTAGTGTGAGCACTGTGGGCACACTGACAACTGATGGAGCCGTTAACCCTCTCATCTCCACGAGATCCTTCAGCAGCCCCCCTCCAAGTTCTAGGTA